CTCGACTCGGCGTAGTACTCGAAAATGTCCACGTTGTAGAGTCTGTACGGCCATTGGGTCTCGGTAGTATCCTTCAAGCTCAACGAATCAGCATGTTCTGGAATACCATAGACATGCTCAAAGCCATTAAAGACCAAATCGGCGGCAACAGACTCCGGACCAAACTTGCGTGTATCGTGTTTAGCATCTTCAAAAGAGTCTTTCCACATATCGAAAGTCAGCTCCAACTGGCTGTGAACGTGCTTTTCATTTTCCTTTTGCGGTCTGTAGTGCTCAAAGTTCAAAAGCTGTTTTGAATTGAAGGACACCTGGGCCTCGTCGTTGTAGTAAACCGTCAAGGCAACCTGGTTGAGATCCAACACAGCCTTGTACTGGTCCTGGTTTCCGTAAACCACAGTGACCTTTTCCTTGGTCACTTCGACCTTCTCCAAGGATTCAATCTTTTGCTCTTCTGGACCATCGAAAATAGCCTGAGCGGTCTCGTCATACCTCTTTGGGTTGACCCCCTTGACTTGAACGTCAGAACGGTCCTCGTCGATCTTGAATCTGATATTGTCTCCTTTAAGCAACGACAACTCGAAAGGAAGCCAGATAAGCTCGTTCAGCTCTAGCTTCTTGAGAATTGTGCCCGTGACCTTGTCCTCCACCTTGATAGATTGGGGATCCACAAAGTACGGAATATGGCTTCCTGAGGCCTCCACCTGGTGCCTGTAGTGCCTGTTTCTGGAACAAAAACCCAGCTGGTCACAGTTTTTGAATAAATAGTCCTTGGCTGCCCAGGCCTGGAGCCAAATGCAGCAGAATACTAGCAACTGGAATCCCTGCATGGCGGAATTGGCTGTAGTATCTTGGAAGACTCGTGGTTCAGTAGTGCACCGATCTCGCGATGTGTAGGTCCTCCACTACTGCTACTTTTAGAAGGAACACTCTACTTTGACGGAGCAACATTTAGCGATGAATTGTCAGAAATGTGTTTAAGTTGGTTGAATGTGGTGGCAAATGATGAAGTGAAAATTTCATGAAACCTCGATCGCCGATTGGTCTATTATAGTGGGGCCATACGCCGACGGCAAAGTTGCTGAAACGGTGGATTTCTTGAGCGACTTAGACTATGTCGATTTGAATGAGTTGCTTTAAGGTTTTGACAAGATGAGTTTATTTTTTGACATCTACTTTTCGAATTCGACCCGACCTATCATGGTGTTTCATTAGTAAGGGGAAGTATCAGCACCCCTTTGAACGAATGACTATCCTCGTTTTCCTTAAGAATTAGCCTGATTTCCCGGAAGACAAGTCAAGCTATGAAAGGCCTATCCTTAAGTCTCAGAAATGTGATATCCCAGATACGAAGTCCTCCCTTGTGGTAAGATATGATGATCTCCAAGCAAGTAAGTTCCCCTGTTATCCAATGTTATCCAAAATCCTTCATCCTTCATTGAACCATCTCCAAGAATAGAAGCTTATTTTGTTCAAAGTACTTGGTGAATTGCAAATGATTCGTCCGATTTGGCCCAATGTTCCACCTCAGAGAGTCTATTTCATCAAGCAGTCAACGTCCATGTGCTACCCATCAATAGCAGACAACTAACTCGTCCCAGATCCCTCCTTGGTATGATGTGACCCAAGCATCTCGTCCTTCATTCGGTTATCGGTATTTCGGCATGTAAATCCTACGTTCCACTTCCACAACGACTCCTCCACTAAGTAATCCCAGAACGCCAAATCTAGTCCTTCCGTTCAAGCACACTTAAAAAGAAGAACTCGACACAGTTCTGTTGTCGCTATCCTTACAGACCTACCACCTTCTAATGATGGCTTAATTTGCCGATCCCGAGCTACGCAACACTCGCTGAAACACCTCCATAACTCCATCCACTTGCAATCACGCACCCAATAGCCCTCCAAAACATCAAACCGTTGAATCCCATCAGAAATATTTTCCCATGATAGTATCACGATTCTGTCGTCAATCCACCTCTGCTGGCTCTGCTTCGAGCTTATACACCGGTCGTGTCCAGCTTTCTATACGCACCAGTCAAGGAGAAAAAAATCATATCAAACTTCAAGTACAACTTCATCCACCTCACGGTCTTTGCATTCCCGACAGACACGAACGTGACGTCGTATACTAATAATCTCATTTCCTGTTCTACGTGTGGTACCCTTACTAGTTGTGATGGACTCCGAAGACAAGAAGAGACCATTCAGTGAGGTTGAAGACGATATCTTCGCCAAATCCAAAAAGCCCCTTCAAGAGCTCAGCGAGGATGGTCCTCTCACGCAACAAGATGTTGTTTATTTCAAGAAGGAGGCTATATGGCGCCAGATGCGCTTCTATAAGCTCCAAGCGGAACAGCTTCAACTAGACCTTTCTAAGTACGAGAGGCGATACCAAACCTTTATAGCTGTTCACCAGTTACTAGAGACCTGGTACTCTCAGATATTGAAGTCTTGTGATGCTGGAGAGGCTGAGTCACTAGATTTGACGGCATCTACTTCTGAACTCAAAGAGAAGCTAGATGCTAGAGCCAACAAGCTAGCAGGCATCCTTAAGCCTGCTGTATCTGATTCTGGGGACCTTCAGGATGTCGTGAAACTAGAAGGTGATCTTGCCGCAGCTCAGGAGTCAAAACATGATCTTCAAGAGAAGCTCTCCGAGCTTCAGAATCAAATAGCTGCCTTACAGAAGATCAAGGATAGGGAAGATCTGGCGACTCTACAACGAATCCAAAGTAACAGTCTTGCAAAACAACAAGAAGAGGAAAGCACAAATGGTCACAACAAAAATGGTGCTTTGGAGAATGGTAAAGTCGAAGACAACAGTGACACGGTAACTATATCATCTGCAGACAAGGAAGAGCTTGAGAAGCTTCGAATTGAAGCAGAGGAGCTCAAGGCTGCATTAGGTGCTTCTAAGAATGCTCTTGACAAGATGTCTACGAGATTGTCTGGTGCAGAGGCTTCCGCGGAAGAGTTGCGAGCCCGTTTGAGTAACCTTACCGAAGAGGATCTCTCAAACTCCCCTAAGTTTGTTGAACTAGTCTCCCAAAACAACACGCTCAAAGAATCGCTCTCGCAGGTCACTCTATCTCAACAAGAGCTTGTCACCAAAGTAAAGCTTTTGGAAGAGAAAGATGGCGCTTACTCGAAAGTAATCAACCGCGAATTGGAAGAAGAGAACGGCCGTCTCAAGGAGACCCTTTCAAGAAGTGAAAATGATCTTGCTCGTATCAGAGCTGTCAGAGATGAGTTGTTGGCGAAGCAAACCATACTCAATTCTGAAATGGATAACAAGAAGACCAACGCTGAGCTAAATGAGTTGAATAGAGTGCTCAACGAGAGGTTATCGAAGTTGGAACAGACAAGACAGGAAGAATACAAGGGCGAGGAAGACTCTAAGTTGCAAAGTCTCGAAAAGGACGAGCTTGTCAAGAGGTTGCAAATATTGAGCACAGAAGTCAAGGAGATCGAGGTTGCCTTCCAACAAACAAGAAGTCTCACCTTGGAGAAGCAAAAGGAGCTGGTCGACAACGAAGGTATTGTGAAGAAGCTTACAATCGAAAAGAATAAAGCGGACCAAAAGTATTTCGCCAGTATGAGAGTGAAAGACTCCCTTTCCGCCGAGAACAAGGTCCTCAAATCCCAGGTCGCAAAATCCCAAGAGCTCGTTAATAAGCTCACTGAGGTTGAGAAGACATATGTCAGCAAGATCGAAATCTTGAACAAGTCGATCAACGACTATAAGGTTATCAAAGAGATGGCTACTCAAGAGAACACACAATTGCATGGCAACCTTAAGATGCTCGGGAAGACACGAGAATCGATCAAGAAGGAGCTCAGTGACGCTAGACAAGATATTGCCCAGCTCAAGAAGCAGAATGGAGACTTGTCGAGTGAAGTCAACAGCAAAACCGTGGCATTCAGCAAACTAGATGCCAAGCTTCGGGCCACAGAGAGTCTTCTCCAAAAGTACAAGCAGAACAACACTTCGTCGATTTTAGAGGAAGACGAGAAACAGCTAGAGGCTTTGAGGTCCATCACCAAGTGTTCTGTTTGTCTGAAGAACTGGAAGAATACTGCAATCACTGCTTGTGGCCATGTCTTTTGCGACGGATGCGTCCAGGAGAGATTAGCTGCTCGTCTTAGAAGATGTCCAACCTGTAACAAGGGATTTTCGTCGAACGACTTGCTTTCCATTCATCTTTAGTCGGCTTGTGGAATCTGTTTCACGTAAGTGTTGCAACTATCACCAAATTTTGGAATATAGAGATAGATGGCAAAACCCAGCGATTCTTGGGAAGATTTAAGCTTCGCCCTTGCCATCAAATTTAATTAGTGACCTATTCATGTCTGGCTGGGCCGGAAGACTAGGGGCATGCCGTGGCGTGCAGGTTGCGGATGGCTAGCAATCCTTAAAGAGATCCTTTTTGCACGATGGATGAAAAGCGGGACGTCACGTGATTACAAGTGCTTAGTGAATCATTCGGTGGCAACTGGCATATGCTACGGGCGTGGCAGTCTAAGGCTTCGTTCAGCGTGCCATTTCCAACAAATCTGTAAAATAAAGGTGGATTTATCAGTGAGTCCACCAATCTTCTCGGGATGTCTCAAACCACTCACCAGGTTTTTTTTTTTATTTTCGTACTTTCGTCCAGCGTTCGTGCAGTACCTTACGTGTATATACCAAAAACCAGTGAGAAGCGCACAGCTGTCTATTGTCGCGCCAGCAAAAAGCGGGAGATATATAAATAAACGTGATTTCCCAGCAGGTCGCAAGGGCCAAAAATCCGCAATTTTTTGAAAAGTTTTTTTTTTCTCGCTCCTGAACACAGTCGAGGCTCTGCATTTAACCCTACTTTCGCGGTTTGTGATTGGTTAGTCGGCAAAAATCCCATTTTTGTGGTTACCCTTTTTTTATTGCCCTTTTCTTTTTTTTTATTGGAGTCCCGCACCCGTGCCTCACACAACTGTTATCACCACGTGACGACAGTACCTCCATAATGTCAGATCCAATTGGCACAGAACAACAGGATGTGGCTGTGGACCCTGCCGCCACAACCCCAGCTCCTCCACTGACTGCTCCTGAAACTACAACACCAGTTCAGACCCCTTCGGCTGATGTGTTTCAGAAGGAGGATGCTTCACATGCAAATTCAAATGTCGAGGAGACACCAGCACCTGAAAAGCCATTGTCCCCTCCCAACCCTTCGCCCTCGCCAGAGAAACATAAGTTAGACGACGATGCTGGACAGGATGAAGCTTCGAAAAAGTTGAAGACGGAGGGTGAACAGGCTAGTTACCAGGCTGACACTTCCAAGATGGAGCCCGCTCCAAAGCCCCCTCCAGAGCCCGACATGACCAAACTTCCCGCTAACCCTATCCCCAAGCATCAAAATAAGTTTGCGCATAACACAATTAAGGCTATCAAAAGATTGAAAGATGCCGGTCCTTTTGTCCACCCTGTTGATATTATCAAGTTGAACATTCCATTCTACTACAATTTCATCACGAGGCCCATGGATCTTTCTACTATTGAACGTAAGCTTTCGGTCAACGCATACGATGATCCACAGCAAATTGTCGATGATTTCAATCTTATGGTGGACAACTGTATTAAATTCAATGGTGAATCTTCCGGTATCTCTCGCATGGCAAAGAACATCCAGGCTCAGTTTGAGAAGCACATGCTCAACATTCCCCCCAAGGTGCTTGCGGCCAACGGCCACTCTAACAACACTGGTGCTGCTTCCAGAAGACGCAACGTTATTGTGAGTGACGACCCAAAAACCGAGTCGGTGGCTGCCCACAGACCCAAGAGAACCATTCATCCTCCAAAGTCCAAGGAATTGCCATACGATGTGAGACCAAGAAAGAAGAAGTACGCCGCTGAGTTGCGTTTCTGTAACCAGGTTATCAAGGAGTTGACATCCAAAAAACTCTACAATATTAACTTCCCCTTCCTTCAACCTGTTGATCCCGTTGCATTGAACATTCCTCATTACCATGAAGTTGTGAAGACCCCTATGGACCTTGGCACAATCCAGTCCAATCTCGCTAACAACAAGTACGAGAATGCTGATGATGTCGAAAGAGATGTCAGACTAGTTTTCTCAAACTGTTACTTGTTCAATCCAGATGGCACGGATGTGAACACCATGGGACGTCGTCTTGAGAGCTACTTCGACAAGAAATGGGCCGCCAAGCCTGTTCCCGCTCCATCGCCCGTCAACTCTGATGGCGAGTATGACAGTGATGATTACGAGGATGATGAGGGTGAGGTCAATGAGGCAATGTTGTCAAGTATCCCTGCAATTTCTTTCATGGAGAACCAGTTGAAGAGAATGAAGGCTGAGCTCGAAGAGTTGAAGAGAACTGAGCTCGAAAAGTTGAAGGCCTCTCGCAGAAAGAAGAAGAAGACCAAGAAGACTAAGAAGGCTAGGTCCAACTCTATCGCTGACGGTCGTGCTGACGACCAGCCTATCGTTACTTACGAAATGAAGAAGCAGGTCAGTGAAGTTGTTCCTACCTTGAACGACAAGAAGTTGCAGGCTTTGATCAAGATCATTAAGGATGACGTTGTCATCAGTGACGAGGAGGAAGTTGAGCTTGACATGGACCAGCTCGAGGACCGCACTGTCTTGAAGCTTTACGACTTCTTGTTCGGCAAAAAAGCTGCTTCTAACGCCATGACCAAGGCTAAGAAGTCCACATACTCTTCCGGTAACATTGACCAGCTCGAGCAGTTGAAATCACAACTCCAGTTGTTTGATGATGCTGAAAGATCAAACGGAGGCTCTCACTTACCAGCCTCCACGTTCGACCTCAACAGTATCCCTGCCCAGGAGTCTTCTGATGACGATGCTTCTTCAGAATCTTCTGAGGAAGAGTAACGGTCGGCACGAATCTTGTATTATAGAAAAACATGTACTATATAGCTTTTCAATGAGGTTAACGGCGATATGATAGAACTGCAACTGTAGATTGGATCGAGTAAAGATGGTCCATGCTCCATATGCTACTCCACATAGAAAATTTTTTAAACAAGAGCCCTCAGCACCTTGATTATAGACTTTATATGGATTAAGTGATAAATCTATATCGAAAGTAACTGAATTTCTGCCAAACCCTGGCTTGTATTGATTATTTCACTAAAGTCAACTCACGTGCCGGGTCACGTGCGAACCATCGAAAGTCTTTTGCATCTTGGTTCACTGATGGAACAATAAGTACAACGACATGACAAGCATCGGATCATCTCATGGCCAGCTAACGCCGAGGGATCCAAAGAATAACCCTCTACGAATCTTGCAAACCATCAAAGAAACTCATGGCCGTCCAGCTCACATAGTAGGACCAATGGTCCGGTATTCCAAACTACCGTTCAGAGAACTCGTTAGACATTACAACGCCGACATCGTGTATACCCCTATGATCCTAGCAAGAGAGTTTGTCAGAAACGACATAGCTCGAATCAGTGACTTCTCCACAAATCTCAAAGATACACCCGTTATAGTCCAAGTTGGTTGCAACAACGTCAACGATCTTCTCAAGTTTGTCGAGATGATGCACCCATACGTTGATGGAATCGGCCTCAACTGCGGTTGCCCAATCCGTGAACAAGTTCGTGAAGGTATCGGAGCAGCTTTGATGTCTGAGCCTGATCTTGTAGCCGAAATGGTCAAAGCAGTCAAGGATAAATACGGCGACAAGGTATGCATCGAGACCAAAATCAGAATTCATAGCGACTTAAGCGAAACCGAGAGATTCGTGAAAAAGGTGGAAAGCGCTGGCGTGGACTTCATCACGGTTCATGGACGGACTAAATCGACTCGTTCATCTCAGCCTGCAAACTTGGATGCAATCAAACTCGTGAAGGACACCGTCAAAGTGCCCGTTGTCGCTAATGGTGACTGCTTCACCCATGAAGACTTTGAAAGAATCGCAGAATACACAGGAGTTGACGGAGTAATGGCAGTTCGTGGTGCATTAGCCAACCCTGCAATCTTTGCAAAACACAAAACGGCACCTTGGTCTGCAGTGGAGATCTTCTTTGATCTTGCTCTCAGCTATGGTTTGCCATATCGCATCACTCAGCATCATCTTTCGGAAATGTTCAGCGCCATGATCCCTAGGCTGTACGTGAAGGAGATGAATGAGATACCAAACCTTATAGATCTCATCGACTGGTTAGACCAGCACTTCATCCTCAAACGTAGAGGTGAAGATGGCTTTGGAACGGACGACAACGTTCCTTGGAAACACTCAGCATAGCAATAATAGATTAGCATTTATGTCTTCACGGCCCTTTCATTCAAGAAGTCCTTGTTCTGAAGAGAGATGCTTCTTGTACGGTTGTCCACCTTGTAGATTCCCACAAGCTGTTGCGCCAATTCAAACATATTGTTACGCAAGGAGATGACAACAAATTGAGCGTTCTTCGTCCGATCCTTGATGTAGTTGGCAACAATAGAGACATTTCTGAAGTCCAAAGCTGCGTCAATCTCGTCCATAACATACAACGGCGTAGGCTTGTATTTGTGAAGAGCAAAAACAAGTGCAAGCGAACTCAAAGTCTTCTCACCACCAGAGAGGTTGGATATATTTCTCCACGATTTTTTTGGTGGCATAACACTGAACATGATACCCTCTGAGAATGGGTCCAAACTGTCCACCAAGTCAAGCTCAGCATTACCTCCCATTGTAATCATTTGGTACATCTCCTTCAAGGACAATGAAATAGTGTTGAAGCCCTCCATAAATTCATCAAGTCGTTTCCTCTTGAGCTCCTCACAGTATCCTTTGACTCCATCACGCTGTTCAACAGTCTCATTCAAGTCAGTACGACGGATTTCGAGCTCCTTCTTCTTCTCACCATACTCCTTAAGGACTTCAATGTCGACCTTGACATCATTCATGTATTGCTCAAGACCCTCAATCTCTTCTTCAATGTTTGCAATGTTGATATCATCGATGGCCTCTTCTGAGAGCTGCTCAATCTCTGAACTCTCGTACTTGGACCTCTCGTCCTCTGGCATCCAATCAATATATGGGCCACAATCACGGACGATGAGGTTCTTGATCTCCTTGTTGGCAATTTCGACTGCGGATTGGCATTTACGAACAACGCCGTTAAGCTTCTCAAGTTTGTTTTCAAGCTCAATCTCCACTGATTTAAACTCGTTGATCTTTGCATTAAGGTCCTCAACCTCTTCAGTTACTTTCTCGAGCTCTGATTCGTACTCAGTCCGTTCATTCATGAAAGCTGCAATTTGATCGTCAATCTCCCGAATCGCCTTCATACTCACCGAAAGATCTTCTTTGACTTTTTCGATCTCAGTTTGAGCTGATTCAAGTTCAGCTACACTCTCCTCGACAATCTTTGTGTGTCTTTTAGAATCATGCTCGAGCTTTCTAAGCGCCATAGCATTTTGTGAGCTTTTCGCTTCATTGAGCTCAATCTTCTCCTTCAAAGATCCAACCTTGGAGTCCTGGATTTTCAATTCGACACCGCCAACATCCATGATTTTTGTTTGAAGAGCCGAAATCTTTGTCTCGGTTTCCACCATCAGCTGTCGGAGCTTTTCATTCTCTGCGGTGAGCGATTCGAGCTCTTTGGTCTTCTCTTGAATTGGGCCCTCGAGTTCGGATGAACCATCCTCACTCTCTTTCTGAGCAAGGAGCTTTTTGCAGTTGGATGAAACTTCCTTCTTCTCTGAAATTAATGACTGAATATCAAGCTGAATCCTTTTGATAGAAAATTCCGTCTCTGGGGCCAACTCCTTGAGCTTTTGAAGATTATTCTCCATTTCCTCGCATTCATGCTGTAGCAGGTTGACTTCTTCTTCCATCGACGCCAACTCCGATTTCATTTTTTCGATGTCTTCTTCAGAGAGCTCTGTATCATCATTTCTAGAATTAGATGTAAGCTTCATGGCGCCTCTAGCAAAATGAGATCCTCCACCGGACATGGCACCCGAAGTGTCAACCACTTTACCATCCAAAGTGACAACCTTGTATCTTTTGGCGCCGTAAGCAACCGATTTCGCCTCTTGAAGATCGCCAGCCACGAGGGTGTTGTAAAGTTTGCTGTAGAATGCTGGCAAAAAGCGTTTGTCTTTTGGAATGATCAAGTCAAAAAGTCTCTTGACGCTCATTGGATTTCCAGGAGTCTGAATTGGACCAAGATCAAAGTTTCGGAGCTTGTTGAGACAAATGAAATTGGCATAACCTAATTTGTTTTTTCTGAGGTAGTCGATACAAGCTTGTGCTGTCTCCACGGTGTCTACCACCATCGAGTCAAGGCCTGGGCACGCTGTTGAGATTGCAACATCGTATTTGTCATCAATCTGACCCAAGTCTCCTAGACGACCAAAGAAACCAGTGATTCGGCCAGACTTCGCGAGTTTCGTCAAACTCACCAAGACCTTATTTTTGTTCTGAGTGTTCGAAACGGAGTGGATGGCGTCTTGTGTCTGTTGCCTTGCAGAGTTGAGTCTGTTCTTTTTCTTCTCAAGCAGCTTTCTAGAATTTCGACATTGTTCTTCGCCCAATAGTATTTGCTCTTTGATATGCTCAAGCTTCCTCTCCTGTGAATCTAGCTCGGCCTCTTTCTCCTTGCCTTCTCTCTTGATCTCCTGGAGTCTCTGAGATGCCTGCTGAAGCTGACGTTCGGTGCTCTTAGATTGCTCTTCTAAGATTTCAATCTCAGACTTGATTAATTGAATGGCGCTCTCTTTCTCCTTGACCTTATCGTTCACCGGAAGAAGCTGGGTTTCGAGCTCTTGGATCTCTTTGGAAAAATGAGAAGTTTTGTCGGCGAGCTTCTCTCGAAGCTGGAAAAGTTTGGCGCTTTCTTTCTCCAACGACTCTTTCAAAGAGGTCAAATCATTCACAGATTGCTCTTCAGTCTCACGAAGAGTCTTGAGTTGATGCGAGGAAGTGGATAATGTACGCTCAGAAGTCTGTTTGGTTTTCTCGATCTTCTTGACCTTGCTCTCTAAGTTCTTCACTCTCTCTTCAAGGGAGACGTTTTTACTGTTGAACGTCTTGTGCTTCTTGTTGGCTTGTGTGAGCTTTTCGTTGGTCTTCGAAATGTCCTTCTGTAGCCCCTTTTTCCTCTTTTGTGCCTCGTCTACCTCAATATTAAGCTCCATGTTTTTGTTCTTCTCCTCACTGAGCTGTTCTGAAACATCCTGGGCGGTCTTCTCATACTTGGAAAGCTGTTGCAGATTTTCGTGGATGGTCACTTGAAATTTCACAGACTTTTTGTTGGTGAGCTGCTTCTCCTTCTCGAGAAACTGCAACGCATCATTCTTCTTTTCCTCAAGCACGTTCGTGTCGTTCTCGACCAACTCGAACCTGTGTTCCTTTTCTAGACACACTTCATTGAGCTCATCCATCTTTGTGAGGTTTTCCTCAATCAAAGACTTGTATTTGCTTGTGCCAATGATATCCTCTAGGTATTCGAGTAACCCGTCGTCGTTTTCCTTTTCAGCCTTAGCCTTCATCTGCGAGATAGACTCGACCTCGCCCTGCAAGATCAAGAATCGCTTGTGATCAAGGTCAATTCCCTGATCCCTCAAGTACTGCGTCACGTCTGTGTAGTTACTAGACCTGCCGTTGAGATAGTACAGGGAGGCGTTGTTTCGAGTGGCGCGTCTGCTGATAACAATTTCAGAACCAGGAACATCTGAAGCTGCCAATGGATCGACTGGGTCATCTATAACGTGGCAAAAGTGGATGTCGACCTGGCAAAAGTCGAGCTTTTGACCGGACTCGGAAGAATGGATCAACTCAGAGAGCTTGCCTTGTCTCATCTTCAGAGCCCTGAAACCAAAAACAAAAAGCATGGAGTCAATGACATTACTCTTACCAGACCCGTTGGGTCCAACAACAGCCGAAAACAGCGGGTTGAAGGGCCCGATCTCCTGTACGCCAGCGTAGGATTTGAAGTTGGTGAGGATGAGTTTCCGGATCACCAACCTGGGCTTGATCTCGTCCTGCTTGACAGCCTTGCCGAGCTCCAATGTCGACTTTGATGTAGGTCGGCTTGCAGGAGGACGTTCTATGGTTGTTTTGGGTGCCTCTTCAACGTGGTCCTCTATTGCATCCCCATCCTCTCCATTCTGCTCATTAACCTCTTCTCCCGTACTTTTCTCATTCTGATCTTCATTTCCATTATCGTTTTCATCAATCTGGATCTTGGAGCCCTCGAGCTCCGCTAGCGTCACGTCCTCGTCCTCAGCTTTTGTATCATTGGCATCAACAAAGGTGGAGTTGGCTTCCTCCATGGAATCTTCAGACAACGGCTGGCTGGAGGGCTCTTGTTTCATTGACAGATCGTCATAATCGGAGTTGTTGATGAAAGTGTCTTCAGGCGCCTTGGAGGATATTCTCTGCTTCTTCATTGCAGAGTAGGACGTGGTTTCCTTTGTTTATGTCAATCGCGCTGCGAAGATGTTGATCTGCACCAACGTTGATGAGTAGGGCTGGGGTAAGATGGGGGGGTGGCGAATGATACTTCAAAATGAAGTGATTTTAAAGAGTTGAAAAACTCTAAAATTCAAGGAGAGTGAAAGAAGGTAAAAGCTTATATTTGCTTGGTCGATGCTTATGAGGGATGGATCACTACATAATGGTTGCAAAATGTCGCACTCACAGTATTTGTGGAGACGCTGTCATACTATAACTTCACTAAAGCGGACAAAAAAGAACCATATTTTCATCATTGCATCCAGCTCAGATTCTGCTTACATCTATGTAATTACCTTATTACTTTGCTCCCACTCCTCCCGAGCCTCCTACACTTCGTAATCTCTAGATATGCTATTGTACATGGTATGAACCGGCTATGCGACTACTCGTCCTTGGACTTCTTCTTCTTCTCTTTCTTTTCCTTCTTTTCCTTCTTGTCCTTCTTCTCCTTCTTTTCCTTCTTGTCCTTCTTCTCCTTCTTCTCCAGCTTCTCCGTCTTCAGCTTCTTGCTGCTCTCCTCCTCCTCGTCGTCGTCTTCACGCAGTCTCTTTTTGCTAACTGGAGTCTCAACCTCAGCAGGCTCAGCGGCCTCTTCTTCCTGTTCCTCCTCTTCTTCAGCCAATTCCTGTGCCTCCTCTTCACCCTCAGCTACAGCATCGGCCTCAGCGTCCTCTGGTTGCTCAGGCTGCTCGGTCTCCTCGGGCTCTTCGCTATCAAACTTGATCTTCTTGTTCTGTGGCTCTCCGTCGTCGCCAAAAGTGATCTTCTTGTTCTGTGGCTCTTCCTTGTACTCAGTC